GGAAAAATTATGGTGTGTTTGTACCAGGTAACCTTAAGTGTATCGGAAACAAAGCGTAAAAATTGTTTATTATGAAATTTTCGTATATCTGTACTTTTTAAGAGAAAGGACGAAGTAAAATTACATCATCTTCACTTCCAACTTGTTTTTATGCCTTGCGCAGGTTTAAATTTGGAACTCTTCCTACTCAGTTGAATCCTCGCTAAATTTATTCGATACATCTTACGGCAAGCACACGCTATGTTGTTGCATCATTGTCTCGAACGCAAAATATTTTGTGTCGCAGTTTATTTGAGGAACTCGCGCATTACCTGACTCATTTACGCGCAGTTTGTGTTTAGAAAGTGACCTTGTGGCCGGAAACGTTATGACTGTAAACAATGCGTTTTCTGAACACTGTGAAGACGTGATATGTTTTCCGCTATCTCGTTTGCTCGCAGTGAGTTTTTATTCCTGGCTGTCAGATTCTTTCATTTTTGTTTACTAGTGACGATTCTCATGTAAGTAAATACCATAAAACTTTATCGTATTATTAAAAAAAAAAAAAAAAAAAAAAAAAAAATACATAATTCTTTCCTTTTAGCATGTGACTGTACCTCACTTCATTAAAATATTTTCCGATCCTTTTAAAAAACACTCTTAAGTAATAATATATTATTTATGTTAACGCAAGAGTTTCAGTGCAAAAGTGAGCTAAGCTGGGATATGTGAGAAAATTGTTTGTTCAAAAAACTTTTTCAGAAATTTTAAAAACTCAGTTAGCAGTAGTAAAGGAATAGAATAATTATGATCCATATGTGTAACACATTCTTCGATTCTTCAAAATATTAGTAATTTAATATATTGATGTTAGTTATTTTAAAATTTAATACTTAAAAGTACTCTTTGGTGCAGTTTTCTCAGTTTGCTTCTGAGGCTCGCATTTTGCGATTGCGAATAATTTAATATTTTGATGTTAGTTATTTTAAAATTTAATACTTAAAAGTACTTTTTGGTGCAGTTTTCTCACTTTGCTTCTGAGGCTCGCATTTTGCGATTGTTATGCTAAGGAAGTGAACGCCATCTATCACAACTGAGTGAATGAATGATAGTTTGTAATCAAATCTTTTGGGCGGTACGCTGTGCGTGCCTTCATAAGTATGAATTATTTATTTTATCTACCTTTTCGAGACCTTTCAAGCTCTTTATCTACATGTTTTTGTTATAATTTATGATGCTTTGCGCAAACTAAAGTTTTATTTTGAAAATGTTGAGTTGTTTTTATTTATTCACTCGTTTTTTTATTATCAATTTATTTGTAACTTTTCGTATCACATTGACTGTTTCGGTTTTGGGGAACACAAAACTAATACATCGCCCCGGGTTTAGAAATTTTCTGGGAATTTTTTTTTTTTTTTTTTTTTTTTTTTTTTTTTTGTTTTCAAAATATTCTGAATTTTAGAGAAGAATCAAATGTTGAATGAAAACCCAGAACCAATGAAAGGTTGATGAAATTTATTTTCCCAGAAAAGCAATTTACATTTCTGGTTTTCTTCCCACAAAAGGGCTCATACATTCATCAGTCATACATCACAGAGCAAAATCAGTAATTACCATTTCAAATTACTAAGAACATAAGGTAATGCGAGGCTCAAAAGTATAAACTTTCACAGCAACCCCTCAATACTTTAAATTTAAACTAAGCTAAACACGAATACGAAAGTAATACTTTACTGCTGGTCTATTGCGCGGAGCGCGATCTTACCAGCTCAGATGAAATTTGGGCCATTTAGGCGCTTGACGATATTCCATGAGAGGTGACAGCAGAATCCGGACACCCGGACGGCTTTCACAGACTATTCGATTGTAATTTGAGCCCCGCAACTGTCTAGGGAAACACGCTCTCTGCGCCCCTCGAAAACTGCATCGGGAGTGTATTGCATATTTGTATACTCCCGATACGATCTGGTCGTGAATTTCTTCTTAAAAGCTGAAGTTTGAATTGGTAGAAAGAAGAGAGTGGCCTGTGTCACGGTCAGTATGGATCCTAGACCGCCGGCTGCTCACGTGCAAATTAAAACTGGCCGCCCTTTTTTACAGAAATATGAGTAATAAGTTTGAAAATTATTTGGCCGCCCGCGTGCTGTGCTCCATCTTGCCCTCTGCTAGGATCAGCTCTGGTCACGGTGTTTTTTTTTTTTTTTTTTTTTTTTTTTTTTTTTTTTCCTCCCTAGAAAGAAGGAGCTAAGAGCATGTTTGGAAAAGCAGGTGTCGCTTGTGTGATGGAAGGGACCAGTGTCGAAGTTTGAAGCTTAGTGATTGTTTCCTGTTTAATTCAGTGGTGTTTAGAGCTGTAAGGAGGTTGTGCTCTGCAGGTCACGTCATTGTGGGTAGCACTTATGTCACGAGTAGCCAGTGAGAAAATTTCTTCCTAAAGCAAGTCTTTGCAGCAGACAAATACAGTCATAAATTGAAAACTGAGATGCTCTCTCCGGTTTTAAACAGTTTTCCCTCGTCCGCCGAGAAATTTCCAGTACCTTTGATTTCTTGTAATTCCTGGAAAGCATACACAGTTACAGATACATAGGGATCCGACCAAAATGTTGCGAAACAGTCACCAAGTTTGGCAACTTTGGCGACTTCTGTCTAAATATGAAGACAAAATTAGTCGCCAAAGCCATTGCCAGCTTGGTGCGTTGGTGAGATACCCATCTACGTGAATGTTAGATTGACTAACCCCCTGTAATCTTATGTAAAATTATTACCAGATATTGTGACTTAACTCACTTTCCTGACAGTAACATCAGAACAAGCCCATGAATTTCATCGTGGCAAGGACAGCAAAATTGCGCCTGTCATTGGCAAGAGCCTTGAGCACCATACAAGTGACAAAACAACTTCGTTCAGTTCCGCCACCAATTTTAATGAAGAGCACCCTGAGTTGACGGGTCCGAGGGCCTCACACCACTCTCCCCCTCCCTTAATTTAAAATAAAAATTAAAACTTTTTTTAAGTTTTCAAAGAAAATTTTACAAATGGGACAAAACTTGAGAATAAAGAAATACAGCACAAACAACTCATTTATTAAATTTTTCTTCGGCACGTAAATTAAAATACATACATTTGTTTATAAATAATTATACATGTTTGTATTTCTTACTACAGCTTGACACTTAACGTTGTTTTGATTTTGATAAAAGTTTGAATAATCCTTGGAGAGAAATTATTCATTGAAATTCATTAAAATTCATTGCAAATTTTAGATGCTTATCAGTCAATCGAGTTCTTGTCTTATTAATTTTTAACTGTGAAGAAAAGCTGTTACTATAAATCTGTTCTCAAACAAAGCGGTTATTGTTAATGCAAAAATTCGTAACTAAGCCTATGTTTTTGACGAATAAAATCTGCATCTTCAAATCTTTGAATAAGATTTATATCATATTTTAAATTAATTAGCTCTATATAGATTTTTCTGGTGTGTTATTCATATTCTTTTTTAATGGTAGGTAGGTAGATATGGTGCGGAACACCCTCCTGGCAAGCCCAGGCTCGCCTTATGGCCTTACTAGACCGGCCACAAAGGAAGAATGCATTTTTAATGGTAATGAACAAAATGTAAACTCTTTTCAGATAACGAAAATCTTTTGATACTATATTTGCAACAAATACATACTTGAATTGTATTTGCAGGCCATATAAAATTTCTTCAGCGGCCGCAATCGTGCCGCTGGCCACTATTTTGAGACTACTGCCATACCGTACTAGATGATCTTATTTGTCATTTGGTCGATTCTGCTTATTATTTCTGATGTTTTATTAATTTCTGCGGTTCGTCGTTAATTTTTCCAAATTAATGGAATATACCAAAGTTAAGGAGAGTTATTGCTTCAAAAGAACAATTAGGGAAAAAAAATAAGTGTCTGTTCAAATATCTTTTACCTGCCTACGGGTAAGTAACTGCCAGAAATCAGTTCTAAATCATTTTTATATCAGTAGATTATTGTAGTTGATTATGAAATTTTATTTTTGATTGATTTATCTGCGATGCATTCTTGTCCTATGTTGTTTAACTTTTTGTGCTCCAAGTTGTTAGCGAAGAATTCGATCACGATTTAATGATAATAATAATACGATTAAACGATTTAAAATTTTTATGTACGTTATTTTTTATCGTAAAGTAAACAGATTTAATTCACCATAATTGCATTCTTTCTTTGGCCATGTGCTTGTATCTTGGAATGTGGCGTTATGCTATTTTATGTATGAAATTCAATAGTAATACTTAACAGATTAATAACATTTTTTGAAACAGTTATTGCAATGCAATCTGGTTAAACTTCTTACTTTTTATAACAAAAACTTTTGGTTTAATTTTCGGCTGATTGCTTTTCGTTAAGCAAGGAAGGTAACTAACTACCGCGTAGATAATTGAAAAATTTGTAAGGCAGATTTCATGTCGTAACATGAAATTTGAAATTTGCCTTACAAATTTTTCATTGACCAAATCAGATAATAATGCTGTAATTACTTCTGTATAAACAAGTATTTGTTTCTTTAATTATTCGCAGCTGTACTATTCTAATAATGAGAAGCCGTTAGAGTAGCCAGTGGCCGATTAATGAGCTTCCGCCATCGCGCCTGATTCTTCTCGATGCATGTTTTCTATGTATATATATATGTATTTATATTGATGTCAGTATTTTTAACACTTTAAAAAACTTTTACGAGGAGCAGTTTTTTAAAACTTTATTTTCATTATGATTAATTAAATAAGTCGTTATACTTTTTTAAATTTTAATTGAAATGGTTTTCAAAATTTCGAATATAGGCATAGTGGATTTTTTTTTTTAAAGTGCGTAGTTTCAGGACGATCATAAGGAAGTTCTAAAACCTGAGTCAGAAGCCTTCGCTGTAGTGAAATTTTGAGAGTATCTGAAGAACATACCTGGAGCTCAAAAACTTAGTTTTGTATTATATTAATTGGAATTTAAAATATATTCATTTTTTTTTTCCTGTTACAGGATTCGCCCAAGAATTTGTACATAGTAATTGAGGTAAGTACCACATTTTTTTTTTTTTTTGGTATTGTTACGTTTTTCATTCTTTTGCCACCAGTTGTTGCGTTGTTTTCTTCCTTCACGTTCGTACGGGGTTCATAGATTTGGAGTGAATAACGACGACACTTGATGAAGTATCGAAACACACTTTATTTAGCCAATATTAATCAGGACTGCTCCAATAACACTTTTTACAGTCGTCGAAGATCTACTCTAAACACGCTGGAAGAATCAGCGACACAGCCTTCACACTCAGGCAATAACGGTGGAGACAGCTTTACTGCAAAGCTCCCGACTCTGCTCGGTCGTTCTCGGAACTTCACGTACTCTCGAGACTCTCCACGCTACAACTCGACGACACACGAGCACAGCTCACGACTCTTCGGTTCAGTCGTTCCCGGAGCTCAACACGCTCTCTCGAACGATGCACAACACGCAATATACTACGAGACTGTTGCGGTGCAGTCGACGATCCAGTCGGCACTTGCTGCCCGGCTGTCAACTCAATCCACTCCGCAGGGACTGACTCGCTAGACGAGACACACACTCGATGAGAGACACACACTAACTGACTGCGGACCAGCAGGGTTTATATAGCTTTCGGCTTGTGTTCGAGAACATTCTGGTCTTAGTTAGTCGGTTAGAATTCGTTCCAGAAGGTTTCTCCATGCGTCCATGGCATGTCGCCAAATGGGCGATTTCTTGCCAAATGTGGCAACCCTGTCTTCCCTGCCATTCTATGGCAACCCTAAAACTGCTTTGCGGGGAAGCTATCTTATCGCTCCTTTACATTTCGTAACAGTATATAATTTGGAGCATATTAAAGTACTATGGCGAATTTATTCTGTAATCTGTTAATTAAATACTTAATTAAATTGTATAAGAAAAGTAATTCAACTTTAAAACTAAGTCAAAATCTACTGTTTGAAGAAAGAACACTTACGATATGTTTGTCAAAATGTATTAAACCTGTTTGTAAATTAATAGCTGGTGGTGCCTAATTTTTAACTTAAAGACTGCTGTTATATTTACAATTAATTCTTTGAGTTTCATATTTTGAATTAAATAAAATGTATAGCAAGTCGGACGCGGATCGAAAGTATTTTATCTGTTATCTAAGGTATCTGTATATGTCTAAGAATTCGTCTAATTTTTTTAACGATTACAAGACTTGTGAATAATGTGGAAACGAAAGCGTGTCTGATTTTTCAGGGAAGGAAAAAATCATGTTGATGAGATAGATCACTTTTGGAGAGCAGAAAATGCAAGCAGCATTGACGTGTTTATTTAAGTTTTAATGTTTGATAAAATATGTTCACGAAATTTCTTCACTTTGCTGTAAATAAGGTGTCTGCTGCTGAACAATAAATCCACTTCAATCCGGTTCTTTAAAAAATGTATCCGATCGCTACGCAGTAACTTGTACTATCAGCTGTCTTTAATCCCGGGAAGTGATAAGACAAGTAATGTGACTTCTATTTATGAACCTTTCATAGAAATTTAAATATACTTTTTTTATTATGCCATCAACGTGCCGTAGTTTAAAAATGCATGTGATGGCATGGGTCGATTGTTTCACTAAATAGTTTAATGCGAGTGTGTTCGAGGAGTACTAAAAGTATGTAAATTTTACTGGCAGAATGTATCATTCGGGAAATTACGAAGATTTCGCAATCACTCGTTTTAGAGTGCATAAAAAATTGCAATATTTTGAATAACTATCAGAAAAGCATAAAATGCTTTGCTGGATTACTGTTCGTAATATTCAAAATTTGGTAATGCCGTAACGTGGGAAAGGGGTTGGTTTGGTTTGGTTTTGGTTTATTGAGATTGCGGCAGAGCACACTAGGGCTATCTGCCTGAGAGAAGGGATGCCTTCGTGGAGGAATTTCTAAGGGAAACTGGCTCGTATACACGTTACACATGGGGAAAACCACGAAAACGCCCATGCAGCCAGCCCGTTCGCGGGATTCGAACCTCGGACCGAACTACCAGAGTTCAGCGACTTTACCGCTCGGCCGCTGGTGGGCCTTCTTGGGAAAACGGAGGACAGAAGAAAGGAAGAACGAATCTGTACAAGAAATAAGCCAATACCACTGCACCGGCCAGCAAAATTTATGCGCGGGAATTTTTTAGGATTTAGGGAGGTTACTTGGTAGCTGAATTTTGGAACTGCAGAGATCGCACAGGGCGGCCTAGCTTTGGCTATGCCGAGCGGTTAAAGACTACTAAGTACTGGCAGTTCGTCCCATGTTCGAATCCAGGCGAACGGGCTAGCGACATGGTTTTGTTTTTGTTATTTTCCCATGTATAACATGTATTCTCCATATCTAATGAGCCCTTTCTCTCAGAAAATCCTCCTCTTGGGCAGCTACCCTTTGTGATCTTTGCCATACCAAATAACCAACCAAGGACGAGGCCTTTATATATATATATATATATATATATTTCATCTCACATTATTTACGGAGTTGGTAACTGTGTCATATATTGTCAATCAAAAGTAAATTTCATGGTGATTCAAAATCACCTGGAAAAGTATGATAAACAGCTGATTAACAAGAATGACTAGCTGATGATAGAATTGTAGTAACAATGTCAAGCAAGCTGCACTTGTTTCGCATGTCATACTTCTCTTTAATTCGTATTCATAGCTAGTTTTCTTTCTGTCATATCAATTTGTGAAGTAATTGTTGGAATGAAAATTGTGTCATTTCTAAGATATTGAATGGCTTACTAAGAAACCGGGCGAAAAATATTTTTGTTGTGAGGAAATAATTGCTCTTAATGCTGATGCTTAGGTGATGGAAAAATATTGCATAGATAAAATAAAGGTGCTGAAAAGGAGAAAAGAAAACAAAAAGGTGAAAAAAAGTGTTTCTTTGTATATAATTACGTGCAGTTTCTTGATGGGCAACGTACGTCACATATGTTCCGTATTAATATATGTAAATTTGTAATAATATTAAACACGTTTTGTCTATTTACTACCTCAAGGAGCGTATAGTCTTCATTACCTGCAAATATTTCTTCCTCTTGATTCTTATTTTTTAGTCACATTTCATTAGTTCCATTTATCATACATAACTGTTTTTTTATTTTTCACTTGTATAACATTTTCTGCTTCTATGGATTGAGATTTGTCTCTTTGCCTCTATTTTCCTTTGAGTGAAACGAAAACGCGCTTTTCAGTGATGTTCTTGTTGCTATCCGGCCAGCGATGGACTGACTGAATGAAGGTCATTGTATGCTGCGCCGTTCGGACATCAAAGAACGTAGTTTGACCTTGGTGTAGGTTCACATTTGCGTGCGTGAACGGAGGAGCTCCTCGATAGGTGCTTTTTAAAAAAAAAAAAAAAAAAAAAATGAGTGCCCCAAACCGTTGAAGCTCAAGCCTTTTTGTTTTGTTACCTTAAGCATCAACGACGAGGATGACAAAAGCAGTTTTATTTTTGTCTCCTCTATTTCTGATCATCTTGCATGTCACATTTGCGTGCGTGAACGGAGGAGCTCCTCGATAGGTGCTTTTTTAAAAAAAAAATGAGTGCCCCAAACCGTTGAAGCTCAAGCCTTTTTGTTTTGTTACCTTAAGCATCAACGACGAGGATGACAAAAGCAGTTTTATTTTTGTCTCCTCTATTTCTGATCATCTTGCACGAATCTGTAATATCCAGCTGTTTGCAAGAATAATTATGAAATTAGTTTATACTAAATCATTTCCAATCGTAATATCTCGTGTTGGTTTGTGCTGCTAAGTTGAAAGTTCGTGATTAAATTACGTAATGGAAAAGTATAGTGTGACACGGTCGTTGGTAACTTGCCTGTCTGGGCCGACTGTTAAACAAGTGACTGTAGTAAAAAATTAAATCATAACCTTTTGGGACTCTTTATATATTTTCTAAAATATCATCTTGCATTTCTAAATTAGTCTGACCTTATCGCCAAATTAGGTACGACATAATTCTGTGAAATAATGGATGGGGGTTTTAAATTTGCAATACAGAAATTTTGAAAAGAAAATTTTACTATTGAACGTATTATATTTTTCTAAAGTTGTCATTCATCCCTTAACCCTGTTATTACACTCGCCTTAGTTAGATACAAGAATGCGCATGGAATTGTATGACTCTTCAATGATCTCTCACCCCCTTTTATGTTTTTTAAATTAAATAGATTTTTATGGTGTTTTAACTCATAAGAATAAAAAGAAAAGTTTGTTAGAAATGATTAAGTCATAAGATTATGGCTAAGCCAACAGGCTGTCTTAGCGCATGGCTTCGCTGAACACTTACCCGGGGGCTCCACGAGCATAGGGACCCTATGTTAATCTGTTCATATTTCATTTACATTTCATTCCTGTTAGTTTGTTGAAGCTGCAGCACACAAATTTGCCTGAGGGCCTGTAAAGACGGCACTGTAAGCGGATACCATTTTTCCCATGTTGGCATTCTCATAAGATAATTTGTGAATTTCACAGAAAAGTGGTGCTTGTTGTAATGTTTATTGCATCATTAACAATTATTGTGGGATGCCGTTGATGGATGAATTATTCCTTGATATTTGTCGGTGTAAATATTCGTACCTGGCTGTAGTATTCCCAACATTTTGTCGAAGTCGATGGAAAGAAAGCTGTGGTACTTTTTGAATTATTCAAATTTCCCGGTAATTTCAATATAGTAGGTTCTAACTAAAGCTGTTTCATTTGATTCTAGTATCTTTTTCAAATGTCTCGTGTTCTCATTCATTCCCGAGAGAAATTATTAGTTTCAAGTATGCAATCAAGTGCTGTCTTAGTCGTAACCTTATCTATCCTCTCATAATTTCATTTCTTTACCAGAGACTGCGTTTATCTGTCAGCATTTCCTTCAAGATGGCTATTTTCCGGTGGCTCCTGCAGTATGCAGATCAAAGATAGATTAACAATTAAGCAAAATAAGAACATGCGTGTTTAAGTACTTAAGAGGATATCATAAAAAGTTCCCATTATCGTTTTTCAT